CGCGATTTGGCGCTCTCGCTACCCGACGCAGAAGAAGCTTCCATCCAAGACCAAGTATCAGCTCTGAACAAAGCGTTCACCGAAAGATCTGGCAAAACCACAGATGTGGTGCGCAATGCACAGGATAGCTTTGAGACGAGCGTTACTTCTAGGTTGGACGATGCAAGGTTGGCGATTCAGCTTTTGCGTGATAGTGTATTGGCGGAGAGTCCGTTTGGGGAGATCAAGATGGTTGATCCGGAGTTTGAAGGGTCGATTGATGTGTTGAGTCAAGAGGTGGATAAGGTTAAGGAGAAGTTGGAGGGTGTTGTGGCCAAGAAGGCGTTGGCGAAGAGTGTGAAGAAGGATGAGTTTGTACAGAGATGGGCGTCATAGGGTAATCTGATGAGAGGCATAGATGATCTATTATCGTTTAATTGTGTAATATTCTTTATACATGCAGCCATGCATGGTCGATAAACATAGGCTGCGAGAATATACTATCGAGAGAATACTGCTCCAAACCTTCGTAAATATCAGCAGTCATCGAATCGCCCAGCGCAGTCTGTCGTTGATCCATTCGCCTTTCACCAACAGGGTGAACAAAAGTCGTTTGCACACTGACAGTCGTCTTGGAAGCATCAGATTGACCGCCCTGCGTTCCATCAGTCGTAGGCTGCGGTGCCACCGCGTCCATGATATCCGAGTCGATGAGTTGCCAGATCTTGGAGGGTTGAAAACTAATCATGTTGTTATTCTGGACTTGACTCGACATTGTTTGTAGCTGATGTAAAAGTTCTCGCTGTCAGGGTTAGTATATACTCCTAGCTGGGCGTGTTCTGACAAACCTTGTGTATACTCCTTGGTGAAGGATCAGGCATCGACTCTAGAAACTCGATGCATTTTCTATAATTCTCCTTTGAAGTTTCTGACACTTTCGCGTCCCTCGCATACTGGAAAAGCCACGGTATTGTCGCCGTCGCAGCGACTAAATCGCCTATTAACGGGTCATATACCATTAATCCACGATCTATACATGTTTGGACTAAGCGCGCTACCCAAGCTGAGTGAAACATAGCTTGATCGACAGTTTGTTGGAGGAACAGTCTTGGTTGGGAAGGTCGATTCGCTCTTCGGAGGGTGACGAGGTGTATGAATGGGTGGTTTAATAATCCTTGTGTTGCATGCGCTGTGATTTGGAAGAGGAGCCATGGGGCCCAATACTCTCGATGTCTTTCGAACTCCTCTGGTGTTCGTTCCGAAAAGCCCACGTTTCGAACGAAATGTACATGACCGAGTCTAGACTCGAGATCATATAGTGTATTCGTCAATTGGTAAAAATTGGAATTTGTATCAGCAGGGTTATCAGCCTTTCCGATATGCAGCGCGTGCAGATACGAGATAACGTCGCCGCAGAACGATACAGCGCGAACAGCATGTGATGTTATCCCGGGGTCTGTTCTCAAATCGTCGCGAATATTTTCTAGATCTGGCGCGTATTCTTCATCGCCTAGATATGCTGGTGGTGAGGGCTCTCTTGCGCTGCGAGGATAATCTGGTTTGGTGTGTGTTTGCGAGAGAAGGGTGAAACGAGGAGCGAAGCCTTTTTCGAGGATGAAGACACTCCAGTAACATCTGAGGCTGGCGTCGCCATGAGGGTTGTGAGGGGATTCAGAGTAGCCTGCTCCGCGGACGAGTTCGAGTCTACTAGCCGCTCCTATTGTCATCAAAGCCAATGCTGGTCTTCCTTCTGCAACCGAGTTAGAACTGTGGTGAGCAAAGAGAGCGGGGTGGGTACCGAGTATGTCACCCAGAGCAAGGAGACATAGAGCTTGTGAGATTTCCAACTGGGCTGTTCCTCGCATGGCAAGTTCAAGTACCATATCTCGCGCAGACCTCGCATGAGAGTGAATCAAGTCAGCTTCTTTCGCGCTGCTCGAATCATAAGGGAGATTTGACAGTGCAAGTGCTAAGAAGATCCATTGAAGAAACATGGGGAATCTTTCTATCCGGTCTCTCAGCCCTTCTGGATTGAAGAGAGGTAGTGGTTGGAAGTATAAACGTCTTCGATATTCTTCTACGGCATGGTCGAGTGAATCTGGCGATGGTCTTGCCTCTGTTGCTGTAGGGAGCCTGGCCGTTGTGAGCTTATTGTATGAGGAATAGAAGGGTATCTTACCAAGATACTGAGACTTCATCGTTAATGCTCACTCTGTTCAATCGTCTTGAAGCGCTTTCGACGAAAGATCCGGACCTGTTTGTATGCCTCGGGAGGGAGTCCGGAGTCAAGGCTGAGCCATTGCTCGACGAGGCAGCTTGAGGATGGCTTTACACCTGTTAGCAGTTGCAGTAACAGTAAAATATCGGTCTTTCTCACTGGATAAGCTCATATATCTCATCACCCCGATTCTCAACACTCGAAACACGATCCCTCGATCCCGGTTGCCTGGTAACTCATGAGACAAGTCATTCACCCAAGATCACAACTCACGCTCTGGAGGTCCTCCTCCTTCGCTTCACAGTCTCTCGATTCCTGGGTAGATATTCGCAGGGCTGATTCAATCGCTCACAAAAAGAGCACACAGGTCGTTCCCCAGTACATCTCGTCTTCTTCCGTCTGCTCCCGGATTAGAAAATAACCCTTGTAAATACATCATACGACTCACCGACAGCTCTCGCACGCACGCCGGACGGAAGATTCGGGATTGCCTGTCATTATCAAGTCGACAGTGGGGCTGGTGGACAAGCATTCAGAAGAAGTATATACAATATGTAGTTGGAATGAAGAGGACGAGACGCGGATTCTCCGTGCCCACCTTTACAGGGAAAAGTGCACGTGACTCAGTTTGGAGAAGCTTACGGATGACTCCGAGATACTGGCTTCTTAAATATTAAAAAGATACCGAATTCCAGAGCTTTTCCCTTGAACGTATCTCATGATTCGGGGAGTTGATCTAGTGATAGCGTTCTTAGTGAGTCGTTGACCGGAGAATTGTCGTGGTAGTGTTCCGTGCCCGTTGGTGAAGAAACGGTGAAACACGATTGGTCAATGCCTCTGGACACGGAGTTTTAGACCAATTTTCCGTCTTGGACATCGACTTATACAAGTCGCTTGTCTACTATAAGACGGGCTGATTGTTTCTTTCTTTCCATTCTTTAGACTGCTACTTGTTTTTATCCCTAGTACCTTCTTATCTCAACATCACCATGACTTCTAGAACGCCTGCATCAAAGAATGAGCCCATCGTTATCGTGGGCGCTGGTGTCTTTGGCCTTTCAACTGCCCTCGAACTCAAGAAGAGAGGTTATCAATACGTCACAGTGCTCGATCGATATCTCCCACCTGTGATAGACGGAAGCAGTGTTGATATCTCACGTGTTATTCGCGTGGAATATGCTGATCCTTTCTACGGCAAGATGGCTACTGAAGCCCTCGAGGGCTGGACGGGTCAATATTCACAGCACTACCACCAGTCGGGCTTTGTGATGCTCACTGATGCTGGTGGGAACTCCTTTGTTGAGCAGAGTAAAGAGTCGAACAAGACTCTTGGTGGAACGCTGGAGGAGTATGAGAATGCACACGATATTCGAAAACAATTTCCTGCCGTTCAGTCTCAGCTTGATGGCAAGAAGGCGTACTTCAACAAGACTGGTGGTTGGGCGGATGCCGAGTCTAGTATACAACAACTAGCTACAGAGTGTTCTCTTGCTGGTGTGTCGTTTGTCACAGGCCCTAGAGGGAGAGCTTTATCTCTACGTTACAGCGACAAAAAAGTCACTGGCGTCAACGTCGCCGAAGGTGACACTATCCCTGCTGCACAAGTCATTGTAGCCACTGGAGCGTGGTCAAATAGACTACTCCCTATCAGCCACGCCTCATCTGGTTCTGGACAGCCAGTTGGCTTCATCCGTCTCACTCCCGATGAAGCAGAGAGACTCAAGGGCATGCCTGTCATCATCAATCTCAGCACCGGAGTCTTCGTCTTCCCACCTACGCCGAAGACACATATTCTTAAGATTGCTCGTCACGGCTACGGATGGGCTACTGAAGTTGAAGTAAAAGATCCTCTTGGACAAACTCGAATGGTATCATCTCCTAAACGAGATGGAAACAACGCCACGACCAATTATTTACCAGCAGATGCATTGCAAGCTCTTCGTGAGGGACTACAAGATCTCGTACCAGAGGTTGCAGACCGGGAGTGGTTGAGAACACGACTTTGTTGGTACTCTGATACACCTGAGGGAGACTTTATCGTGGACCATCATCCTGTTCGCGAGGGTCTTTTCCTTGCTACGGGTGGTGCTGGACAGTGAGTTACCCATGAAACCTAATGTGAAGTTGTACTGACAATTATGCAGCGCTTTCAAATTTCTCCCTGTGCTTGGAAGATACATTGTGGACTGCTTTGAGAACAAGGCTTCTAGGGAGCTTCGACACAAGTGGAGGCTACGAGCGCCAACTGGACAGGACATGGTGAAGCAGGGTGATGGTAGTCGGGGCGGCCCTCCTTTAAGGAAGTTGACAAGAGCTGAGCAGGCCAAGCTGTGAAAAGAATAGATGTATTGGTTCGTTTGGAACGATAGACTGCTAAGATAAAGGAGAGCATACACCAAAACCGAAGCCTCATCACTGCCTGTGAGCCACGATCGGTGGTCTTTGAGCTTCGAGTGATTTTGGTTCGTGCCACCACAATGGTTATGCAACATGAAGCAGTGTGCCAGTCATGATCAGGGACGAGCCCATGGCCATGGGCGCATGCAACATCGTACACGGTTCGCATATCACATACTACATACCACATAGAACAATTAAATGTTTCAAGCATGCTGAGAGACCTAGTGCTTGTATACGAATTACGTGTCACGCCTACGTTTACGCATGGCCCCTACGATGGTGCTTTGGTGCTGTATTATGTGGGATATGGACATATGTGTGACATGTAATATCCCAAAATTCGGTGACTGGACTCGACCCCGTCACCGGCTGTGTCTGACCACTCACGACTTTTGTGATGGTCTTAGCCAAGAGGAGCACATGTGAAAGCGTTCTTGACAGTTCCATGGTCATACTGGTCGATCTGCGGATGATGTTAGTTGATGTTGCATAAGACGTTTGTGTGAGTTGGCTTACAATATCGATGACGGCGGAGTAGGTTCCAGCAACCAAGAAGACAAGGCCCATGATGAAGATGATGGCGTTGACAACGCTGGAAAGGATGTTCTTCTTGCTGTACCACTTGCCTTCTCTCAAAAGCATGAACCACATTACTGCAGGCCAGTACAGAGTGAAGCCCGAGTTCAGCAAACTGGATGTGATAGCGATCAAGTCGCTGAAGAAGGGAATAGCCTCTGCGATGACGAAACCGATCCAAGTGAAGATGCTGATGAGAAGGAGCCAAGAGATCCAGCCCTTAGGGGTATTGATATACTTGGCGATGGAATTCTCATAGATTCGACCGTGGATATAGCGCACAGCGACAGTCGTGTTGATCGAGCCGCTGATGAAAATAACTGGCAAGGCCACGCCAAAGGCAACCTTGGCAACAGTGTGGCCTGCAGATAGAAGAGCTGGAGATTTAACATCGACGCCAACGAAGGAGTAGATGAGAGCACCGGTGAGAGTATAGATAACAATTTCGATACCGCCGAGCGTCCAAATAGCCTTCATATAGTCGGTGGGCGTGTGCATTTCATCCATGAAGCTGAACTGCGAGATAGAGAAGCTGTAGGCGAAGAAGATGTTGCAAAGTGCAATAAAGGCCTGAGCAAAGGTGACATCAGGCTTGGGCCAGGCGGACCAATTGGCCGGTTCAGGTGCATCGGAAGCTCGAATACCAGTCGCGATGATGGTGACTCCAATAGCTGCAATAATCGAAGCGAAGTCGATATAGCCCAGAATAGCCACCTCTGCGAAACTAGGAGGCACAGCAAGAAGCAGCAGCAGAACAGCAGAGATGACACCCCAGACAAGACTGCAGATGTTACTCTCAGTCAAAGTCGCAAAGGCGATAGTCCCCGTCAAGCAATGCGACGCCGTGAGGAGCAGCAACTGAAGCGTAACCATGGCACCAAAAGCCTCAGCACCCCAACGTCCAAACATGAGTCCTCCCGCAGCAGGGTAGTGCTCGACATGCGGATACCTAACCTTGACCTGCCCAACGATATACGACGTGTAAATCGCAATGAGCCCAATGCCAATCGAGCAGATAACGCCCGCGACCATGCCCAGCGTCGCAAAGGCGCCGGGGATGGAGAGCGAGCCGAGCGCGACGGCCTGGACGATGAGGACGATGGTGAGGCGCTTCCAGCCGAGACGGCTGAACTTGGCCTTGCCGTCGAGGATCTTGCGCTTCTCGAATTCGGTTACTTCGCCGACCATTTTCTCGCTGGTGGAATCGTCATCTTGGGCGATTGGGGCGGAGAGGATGTTGTTGTCCTGGGCGCCCTGGGGCTTGTCCTTGTTTTTGCTGGCGGTGGAGGCCGCGGGGGTGATGGAGGAGGTCATTGTTTTTTTTATGAGTGTAGCTTAGTCTCCCATTGTCACACAGACGGTTTTATTTGGTGAACTCGTCAAGAGATTCAGAGAGGATGAATGAGTATGAGGATGTGAGTGAAGAGGGACTGGACTGTCTTTGTAGGGCCACGGTATATGACTCCCCTTCAGCCCGACGTCGGACGGGACGTGGAGACTCCATATTGAGCCATCTGGATCCATGTGAGCAGAGGCGAGAATTCAGAAAAAGTTTGTCAGTCCATGGCAATGGCATGTCATACGAAAAGCCATGACCAGGTCAGTCTACGATCCATGATGGAGTACAAGTGGATCATTCCGTGGTGTTTCTAGAAGGATTAGCAAGTAAACCCTTTTTAAATGTCCCTAATTGGTTAAAATGATGGGGCTCAATAATAGCCGAATCAGCTAACATCGATAGCTCAACAACATCACATTTTTATAAGACTTTTCTCGACAGTCTCTACCCATTCGACTTGAGTTACTCATGAAAAGATGACAATTTCAGGATGGCAGTTAGTTACTCCCGTCATTCTTAGTAAAAAGAAATACTTATTTGGCTAGGGAAGCTTGTCAAGGTCCCTGAAAGAGAAAAAAAAGCTGATCGTCTTTTGTGGATTCTGTTACTCAAAAGTCGGTCCATTTTACCTAATCAACCTGGATTCAAGCGGAGGCACCGAGTCAGAAGCTTCAGCGAGATGGGCTGTCGCCCCCTTGAATTTTGATACAGAAAAGACGCGGAGCCGAGCCGAGGGAAAGGAGAGGTGCCGGCGGATGTGGAGGAGATTGGGAAGTCTAAACTTTATATGGTGATTGTTGCATCAAGTATCGCGGCTTATAACTATGGTGTTGAGCTACGATGCGCTGGAACACGGATATAGACGGCTCTATTCATTGCAGTTTAAGAGCAGTACGACTCCAAATAGAGTTTTTCATTGACATCTTATTGGCCATTACGCTTCTGCTCGGCAAACCGTTTGTATGCTCGTCTTAGAGCCGCGTTCCGTAGCCGCCGTACGTAATGAGATCCCTCTTCATTTCGCATGCTGCACTTCCCCAAGTTTTCTCCAGATGATCTGCCAACTCAAGCATATTCCCCCACGTTGAGTTCTTTTGTTCGCATGGCCCGCTATGTCTAACAGACCATCTTAATGAGGCAGCTGTTGAGGCTAGACTCCTTCATTACGTACAGGAGGTCTCCGTGGATATCTGGGGTCCCATCCACTTCTTACGAACAAGCCGGACTGTGTTAAACATTGCCTGCTTCAAGCAAGACCTTCTGTGGTGATATAATACTCGATAAGCTGAGCACGGCATCGATGCGGTAAATTATCTATGTCTTTTGTCTTCAATATCTCGTTATCATAAAAGCCTAAGCTTGATTGACAATCGCTGGCACCTCTTCCCTCTTGGATCACCATATGCTTTTTGCATCTCCTCACCCGATCTTCAACACCAATGTATTTCGATGAAGTAGACTGCGGAAACTCCCCTAAAAGCTTCTGCCCTCATCTGTAGCATGGTACCCATTTCCATTCGTGAACCTCTCCTCTTGACTCACCACCAGCTTCGGGAGTCCAAACCCAACACCAAAGAAGACAAAGATAGCCCACTTCCATCGGAAAGGGTTGATAACCACACAGAAGAAGAACCACCAGATCAACTCCAAGTAGGTAAAGAAGTCGAAAGCGGGAGTTGGACTGGTAAGCTTGAGTGTCTTGGTCATATCGATCCAGCGCTGCATCCAGAAGGGACTAGGTCGAGAGAACGGATCCATGAGGAACATGAGAAGGATTCGAGTGTAGATACCAATGTGCCAGTTTCCGACGGTGCCGATAGCGTTGACATATGTGCAGTTGATGGCTGAGACCGAGGGGTGAGTGGGTGGGAAGGTCTGGAGATACCAATTCGGCGGTGGGTAGGGTTCCTCGAAGCAATCCTTGGGTAGGAAAGAAAGAGAAGGTCGCTTGAAACCAGTAGCCATAACGACAATATCAGCATCGATGACTTCCTCGTGACCAGGACCACCTTGCGGCACACCCTTGGCGCGTCGATTAACTTGAATACCGCTCTCGACGAACTCATCGATATCACAGCGAACCCATTCAGCTCTACCCTCGCGCAGCTTGTCCATAATATCAGAGTTAACCATAGGTGTCTCCATGAACAAACCGTGGCTCTTATCGGGCGCAATATCCTCAAGATCTCTGTAGAAGAACTTGCGCAGAAAGAACTCTGGGATAAACGATAAAACTGTCTCCTGGCCAAAAATGTTGAAGCTCAGAAGTGTATCGACGACCATGCTGCGAGGAATGATCCACTTGTCTGAGCGTGATAGAATAGTCGCTTTGGCAGCATCTTCTGTGAAGGCAAACTCAAGCGCTTCAACAGCAGAGGCACCTCCGCCAATGATGGCCATTTTCTTACCCTTCACATCCTTTCTAATAACAAGTCAGCGGGCTGGATAGTGAGTTGGGAGGCCGAGTGACATACCCAGTGAGTTCGCTAGAGTGGTAAATAGGACCTTTGAAGTTGTCCATGCCAGGGATCTTTGGCATCTTTGGCGCGCCACAAGTTCCGACCGCAGCAATGACACCGCCAAAGCGTCCGAGGGAAGGGTCGTTCACAATCCATCGTCCCTGGTCATCTTGGTAAACGCGATCAATTTTTGTGTTGAAGCGCGTTCTCTCTTTGAGGCCATAACGCTCCCAGAGCTGTCGGACCTGGCTGAGAATTTGCTGACGGTCGGGATACCCACGATTCCACTGAACAGAAGGATGGAATCGATACATCAACGAATGGATCTGAAGCCCAGACGTCTCATTGACTCTCTGTGTTTTATTAGCGTTAAAATAATTATAAAATCATAGCGTAGTGAAACTTACACTCCAAATACCACCAACATTATCCTTGGAGCCAGCTTCGAAAATCACAACATCAAAGCCATGGCCAATACAATGAGCCGCACTCGTAACGCCCGTAATTCCCGCCCCAATGACTGCAATCTTAGGTCTATTGCGCCCAATCCTCGCGTTTTCACTCGGTGGCTTCGGCGAGAGGAGTTTGTCCGTGAGCCATTGGAAGATCTGGAAGAAGAAGAGAAAAGGATGGAAGAGGGGGTTGACGAGGCCAGTGTCAGACGCCATTGTAATTGAAGAATATAACTACAATCAACAATTGAGGTTGAGGTTGAGGTTGAGATTCGTATTCTCATAAATATCTCGCGTTGTCTTTCATGTGAAAGCGAAACATGACGTCAATATTTCACATGCTAATTTAGAGGCCTTGACAATGACGAGTCAATGATTTCAAGGTCAATTCAGGGCGGGATGTTCTAGTTAGTCTAGTTAGTGCAGTGATGTGATGTGATGCGTGAACCCACAGACAATGGCTGAAACAAGAATAAATCACTTCATTCCAACCTCTTCCCGCTGTTTTGTTTACTCCAGTCCTTGTCTATACCAGTCAATCCAGTTCGATTGCTTTTCTCTCATAAAGGCATCTTAGCGCAATTAACTTGGAGCTCATCCACTCTTCAAGCTACTCACGTTCCTGAATTTGATCAATTGAACGATAACTACCAAAAATGGAGCATCCAGGTAAGCTTCCTTTAGATATTGCAGACTGTAATATGCTCACAAAGTATAGTCAAGGAAATTGGCGGCGTTATCAAGTCGCTCACTCAGGGCAGCCCTGATGTTCAAGAGTCGACTCTGAGAGAATATTTTCTCCCCAATGCGTCATTTTCACACCCATACTGTCGTGTTCCTTCTATCTCGAAAGGACAAATCCCTTTAGCAGGAGGTCTTGAGTCTATTCAGTTGATACTAGCCATCTATCGGTGGTATCGTACTTTGAGTCCACACATTGACCTCAAGGTCGATTCAGCAGGTCAGTCTCCCGTCGTCTAATGGTTGATTGCAATTGCTAAATTTTCTCAGCATTTGATCAGAAGAGTGGTCTTCTATATGTCTCCATCCGTCAGACGTTCGCGCTCTGGTTCATCCCTCTGTACAAAGCACCTGTGAAGCTTGTGTCTGTTCTACAGCTTACACAGCTCTCACCAGAGTCATCATCAGAAGATGAAGAACTAGAGGATAGCAAGCCGCGTCGACAAAATCCCCGCTACTACATCGCCAGCCAAGAAGATCTTTATCCAGTCAATGACTGCATTCAGTTCTTGTGCCCTGGCCTCGGTCCCTTCCTATGGACTATTTGGCAGCTCTACAGCACTTGGCTGTGTGTCATGGGATCTTTGTTGTTCTTGCCTGTGTACTTTCTGCTCAACGGCACACCATCGAAGACGAAGAAGAGAATTCCCAAGTTTTAGCTTGGACCTTGGCCAGGTTTGTGACGGAATTTTAATCTGGGATTTTATGGAATACGCCTTATGACACGACTAATGACGGCGTATTGAGTTATTGTAATGGGTTTGGGGTAATCAAGGGCATGGGCGTTTTTGTTTCGTGATCTTTGTAGATGTTCGTACAGCTCAAGAGCTACTAGAAAATAATGGAAGCATTTGCTTCCGCGCAACATCTATGATCGAATACAGTATGGCGATGTGTAGCTCATCCGAGAGCAAGCAGCTGTATGTCACATTTCTCAATAAGAGCCAACACGGGACGCGGAGCCCTTGGAGACTCACATGCATTTCACATAAAGGCTTTTGGTACTGGCCGCTATCCGAGTCTTCCGTGGCACTCTGGCTGCCTTATCAAGCTGTTGCTGTTGTCTTAGACATGCCGAGGCTGTTGGTCCTGAATAGAGATATTACCATGGCAATCAAGGTCAACTCAGGTGCCCATAGTTCGACATCACAGTCTAAGGAGAATATAAAAGCAAGGTCTCAGGCAGCATCCAATAAGGTGTGTACGGAAATGAGTTGGTATGTCAATACACGGCACAACCAACAGCCTTGTCTGTACACGAGCCAGTTAAGACATGCACAAACAATCCGACGCTGTTGCACACGTTTTGTTGTTGAAAAGTTGAATTGTACCTCGCTATCTTTGACTGGTCCTAATTTTTTCTAAATGATTCTTCCGTTAAGGTCTAGATTCTATGCTCGTTGACCACAATAGCATCCGCATGCTTGGCCAATGCCAACAGCCTGCTCTTTCGGGCTCGAACCAGCCGGCGCCTCCTGTTCTCGACACTGTTAAAAAGTGTTTATTACCTCCATGAACGTCTCTCTGATCGGACTCGGCCGATACCATACCATCCTTGGAGTGTTAACATGCTCTATTGAGCGGCGCGGCGCTTATAAGATAGGAAATTCTTCACTTCGCTAGGGCAGCAACCTTCTATTACTCTTTGGGTCCGTAGGTAATGACTGTTTCCCGGGTGACTTGAATACCATTGACGCTCTGGCTGCGCTTGGTAGAGAAACTGGCCAGAGCAGGTTTCGGCTTGGCGGATACTGGAGGTACTTGATCGGCTGAGCTGTTAACACTCTCGGTATCCATTGCACCGTCTGACTCGAGAGCAGTAGTGTGCTCTGGTATCGCGGGACAAAGCCGTGTCTCATCTTCTTGAGGGTTCTCGCCACCAAATTCTCGTCTGTGAGGCATCTCGTATGAATCGTTGTCGAGAGTATGGCTTTTTCTCTTTTCTTGACTGTGCGAGTTGGACTTCTTTGAGTTCTTCTCCTGCGAACGAAGGCGAGGATGGATGAGGAAGGGAACGTATCGCACGCAGAATGGCTTGAGCGCGGGGACAGAAACACAGACGAGGCTGGTGTTGACCTCAATGAAACTCAGGATAAGCTGTCGTGGAAGGGCCCAGGTGTAGTCGGGTGCTTCCAAGATGGGAAGAGTGATGGTAGCCCTCCTGATTGTGACGACAATGATGACGCCTCCAGTTGCGAAGAGAACAGCAAGTGAGATCTTTTGACGAGTGGGGATCTGAAGAGGCTGAACAATGCGGATCGGAAGAAGAAGAACGAATGTATCGATGACAACACTGCAAATGACCAGGAAGATGACTAGAACATCCATGCCAATACACTTCCCTTCGATAGTGAGATCCCATCCTGCAGATACAGGCTGGCATCGAAACACGACGAGGCAGACGTAGACAAAAGTGTATGAGCAAACAAGAGCCATCAAGACATGGACGGCTCTACGGACGAATCTATCGGGAGATATTCGAAGATAGAAGCTGAGGACAGAGAGTTTGGCGAGACTGATGCTGGCGGCATATGTGAGTGTGGCTCCGATACTCGTCTGCCAGAACTTGGGAACGTATTCGGCCACTGGGATATCCCACATGTGGTTTCCAGCACCAAGATTGAGGACTGTCACTGTTAGATACTGTAATATCGAGAGTGAGTATAATACATACGTGTTAATGAGATGCCGAGAAAGATGAAAGAGAAACAGAGACCAGCTATGCACAAGTCTAACAACTCAGTTAGTTCTGCTCCCAAGAGTGCATGTTGAACAAGACATACAGTCATCGGTGCCTAACACACTTTTAACCACATATCTCCTCGTAAAGACCCTGAGAATAACAATAATCGAAGCAATGATCGTCGTCGTAACACCGCAAGGAATAACTCCGCTCCCACTGCTCGGGGGATTAACAAGAGTTCTCGTCTGTCCCGCCGGCGGCTCCATGAGAAATCCCGAAGGATCATGAGCAAGAGGCGCCATCGTATCTCGACTCAAAGATATTAGAAGAATAAAAAAGAGGCTTATGAGCAGTCACTAGGTGAGGAGATGACCGTGCAGAATACAGTCCCTCTTCCATGATGATGGGACATGCAGAGGAACTTATATCTTGGAACAAGGAGCTGGGATGTAGAAAAGACAAGATGACAAGGTTTACTCCACCACTACTGCAAGACAACAGAAAATCTGATATCCTCCCGAGTTGATCTCTGTTCCTTTTCGCAAATGTTGTATTCTTCTAGCAAACAAGCCGGGGGATCCCAAGTGGAAATCGTTCGACTCAAAGTGACGACTCAACTCTACTAACAAAGTCGCATAATGGATATAAGAAAAAGTAAAACCAGAGGTAAACTTTTAGAGACGTCTCTCTTTTTTTTTTTTTTTTTTTTTTTTTTTTTTAATTTTTACTTTTGCTTATTCTCGCTCTTCATGCGGTTCTCATTCTAGCGCGTCTGATAATACCCCTGGCCTTGAGGGTCCCGGAGTCCCCCTCCAGACCCGCTCGTGGGGAAAAAGAGAGGACATTCTCGTAGAGGACCCTTGTCTCTTGTCGCCGTTGAGTATTACTTGTGGCTTTTGATAGTGAAGAAAAGCCATGAAGAAGTTGATTCAGTATTAGTGGTCTCATTGTCCGAGAGCCGTTTGTTGAGGCGTTTGTCGTCTCACCGGTGAAAGAAAGCCGCATATGTACCTCGCTCTGTAGTTCGTTGCAATTGAGGCCTGCAATCACTGTTGCACAGCATAATCGTCGACGTCTATTCTAGGTGTATCTCACGTGAGTACCGGTGTGTTAACCAGGGCCTCGAGTACGGCAAGGGTTATTTCATGACGCATTATACCCACTGTGTCTATATACCGTTGGGAGGAGGCCGTTGTGGAGGATGTAGGCTATTCAAGCGAGAATCTTACTCAAAGGATACTAATACATGCCTGCCGACAATGCAGTTTCTTTTTCTCTTGAAGGGGAGTTTCGCTGATCTTATCACTGATTGATATATTTTCCATGGTTTCGCTCCTGTTTCCTCTTTAGTGCTTTACCAATGATCTTGTCGTGATGAACCCCGTGGAGTCACAGATGACGAGATGACATCCGAGCACAGGTACATTGGTACAGATCGTTGAAGATACATCACGACAATCTTTAACATCCGTGCTTCTACGGTAACTACAACCAACATCAAATTCCGGAACCGATCGGGACGCTCCAAAAAAGACAAGACGAAAAGCCTCCGGGTGGCTTGCTCGTCTAGACCTCAATCTCTCGTCCGCGGAAGAGTCTTGTTGACGAGAAATTCTCATCGTCAGTTGACATTTCGTCAGACCACAGATTGTTAGGATCCGCAATTTGGGTAAAAAGTGACAGTTGGCGATATTGCTTTTTTGCGAATACTCTACGAGACCCTTGTTCTGGGGACTAAGCATTGACACACTTGTCGTTGAATGGGTCTTGGGCTTGATCGCTCGAGATACCG